AGAGCGCGATGGTCCTTGCGTTGGTGTCCCGGTTAGGAGGCCGTAGAGATAAAGTTCCTGCCAAAGGGTCCTGCGGAAATACCAGGATACAGGGCGGGAATATAAGGCTTTAAAATACCAACTAGTAATTAATCTTATCTAAATTTACAGAATCCTTTCTTCTCCTAATTATTTATTCATAATCTATATCGTGCTCTCTGATACTCTCCATTTTTTTTCCCTTGAACTTTTAGGGTCCAAAAAAGAAAAAAAAGGTAGGTAGATATATGTTTTAGCTCAGCCGCAACAGTTTGGATCTTTGGATCTTGTAATGTTCATTTAGATAATGTGACAAGAGAATTGTCATTTTTTGGGGGGGAAATTACATGGATAAAATTATATAGTGTTTAATGCTAGAATTACAGAAAGTAACAGTCGCTTTTGGACTGAGCAGCTACAGAACATATTTCTTAGATATACTGTTATTAAAGATGCTGTGACATCTTATTGCATGGCAGTGTGCTTTTCTAAAGAAAAAGAGGCTATTAAAATCAAGAAACAATTCTGAATTTCAACTACTTAGTCAATCAAATTTGAAAGAGGGACAGATATCACCAAAACATTAAGTTTTATCCGTGTTCTGCAAGGAGTCTGAGTACTTGTCTTTCAGCAGCAGTCGTGTAAGGAATTAAGCTCCTAACTTCAACTCCTTGGACCATAAGATCCAGGTTAGGTGCCAAAGATGATGATGAGTGTCTCCTCATTTCACATTGCCTCCATGTTGCTTCTGAACCCATTTACATTTTGCATTTTCTCTATTTTGAATAAGTTTTGAATGCATATGATTAATTTCACTTTAGCCACGTGTGTCAGTGGTAAAACGCCGTCGTTCGGCTAGTGCATGGATACACTCCCGAATGCAAGTCACTCGTTTTCCCTGGTATTCAGTCCTTTGCCATCCATAGCTTTGCTTTAAACCTTGGTTTAGACTGCTGTCACTCTAGTGCTCCATACACTGGAGACTATGCAGAAGGTCACTGCTTCTTTTCTTATACAAAAGAATTGTATTTTCTTACAAAAATGCCTAGACTGCTTCCCTTCATGTAAAAGTATTGACTAGAAACATGGTTTCTAGGAAACTCAAAATGCAGTTAACCTGGGGTAAGTCATATGCCTTGAAAAGACTAGGCTTGAACAGTTAGCTATGAGAAATTGCAGCTAGTTTTCTTTAGTGTCATTAGATCATGTTTGTCAGTTGTCTTGTGAATTCAGGTGCTTATAAATACTGCATTTGTGTATGTCTCAAAATGCATTTCCTAGTATTTTCTGAACTATCTGAAGTTGGGCCATCAGCATTCCTAGTACATTTGCCCCTTGCACACCAAACTGAAGCCAGTTACTTTATAATTTTCATCTTAAAGTAAGAGATTTGATACTTTTCAAACTGTGGGCATATGGTAGAATATCTTGCCTAGAATAATATGTTAATTCTAAGAGCATGTATTAAATTATGAAAGTAAGAAGAAACTTGAGCCCATGCTGTGTATTGCCTTTCTGGAGACTTTTTTGACTATGTAGGGAGCCTAAACTCTTAATTCAGAAGTGAGATTAGAAATTCAGAGTTAAAGAGTATCAGTACCTCCCAAAATGCATTAAAGTAATTAATGTTGATGTTTGCTTTCTTTTAACTTACTGCCAACATTAAGGCCAGTGGCAAAAAGAAACTTAGCAAGGCTGAACGACTGCAGTTACAGAAAGAAGAAGAAGAAAGGCGCCTGAAAGAGGAAGGTACCGTGCGCTCCATTTGCAGGGAATGTAATTGCCCAGAATTGTTAATATTAACGGAATGGACACAATGCAGTCTCCCAAGCTATATATGTGCTTATATCTGCATTCTGTTTCACTTAAGGAGTACAATTTCCTCTTCAGTGGACCAGATGCTGTGTTACTTGTAACAGTGTCACACATCTCACTTTCCAGTTCAACATCTATTCTATTTCTCTAGTTATTTCTTCTATCGTGACTAAGAATGTGGCATGAGAATGATTGGAAGACTTAGAATTTTTCTCTCTCGTGCCGTTATTTCTGAAGTATTCCCAACAGATGGAAATACAATGTTTTGGACTTCTTGTCTTCTCTCAACCCTGTTTTTTTGAAGACAAAGGAAATCTCTGTTTTTTTTTTTCCAGAGAAGATCAGTAGAATATTTCTATTTTCAGCCTGCTAGCTCATTCTCTGAAGAGGTGGCAGGTGGCTTCATGACTACGAGGATAAAAATTTATTTCCTTGGGCTTATTTCTGTCTTTACTGAGTCTTTACTTCCTCCAAATCTTTTTATTTTATGTTCCTGTGTCCTTCAACCTAAGTCCCTGTGGTGGAAAAGGGAAACTGAAAATTTGATCAGGAGTAACTTGAAAGAGGATTGACAGTCTTTGAGACACATAAAACTTCTTTTTTTTTTCATTGAAGAAATAACTAGGGTTGAGATACCCTATTTTCCTGCATCTTTTGGTAGGTAACAGAACCACTTGGACAGTTGTATCAGAGACATTTTATTAAGAACATGGGTCTTCTCAAGCTATAGATAAGAAAAAGGAGGGGAAAAATAAAGTTTGCTGCTCCACTTCTCTATTTGTATTGCCACAGGTCAGTAGGAGTAGAGCCATGGATTTGTGGGGTTTTTTAATGCGATTCAAATTGTTTAGACTTGTGAGGAAGCTTTCTGAGTGATGAAAGATACATTTGTGTTGTGTGTTATTTTAGTTATTTTGCTATTACAGCAAATAAAATAATTTGTCTGGTTTTATTAAGCAAAATATGATTATGGTCTTGATATGTTTCCCACTTTTCAGAGGAAGCCCGAGTGCAGGCTCAGCAAGAGCTTGCAGCAAGACTTGAGAAGGAGCGACTTGAACGAGAGCAGATGGAAAGGCTTGAGGCAAAAGTGAGTTCATATCCAACTTAATAACTATTGAAAAATTCTAATCCTACTGTTTCTAGGTTCGTGGTAAGGTCTGTAAAACATTAGCAATTTAGTGTGAGAATGAAAAAGAATTTCCTCATATTCTAGTGTTGGGAAGAAAGTATGAGAAACTTTCCAGCATCACTTAGTTAAAATTAATCATGAAAAATCCAGCCAAGCCACTGAAAGCTACTTGCATATGAGATCTCACAAAATGAGAAGGTGGTGATTGGATTAATAATTAAATAAAGCACAATCCGTGCAATGGGAAATGGCAATGATTTTTTTTTTCCAAGACGATATTTGGCAGAGTATTTCTTTGCTTTAGAAAGGCTCACAAAGATGAGGCAATCTTTGATATCTGAGGCGTGTAAGGGCAGATGTATTGATTTCTGGGTATACATGTATATATGTTTATATTCAAATATGGATGTTTACAAGTCCGAGAAAAATGGAATTCAGGACAAAACCTGATAGATGGTATCTTTTTTTTAATGTTTTCCTCCTAGAAAGAGATATATCTTTAAAAAAATTACTAGGTATTATCTCAGAGGGGAAAAAAAAAACACTCTTGCATGTGCTTCTTGTCCTTCACATAGTATTTTTTCCCTAGAAAAGAGAGAGGAATTTAAAATCTTGGAAGTCAGAAAGGAAAAATAATGTCTTGCACATGCCTACTTTTTTGATCAGCTCTCATTAGAGGTAGTTTCTTGGTGATTAAATGAAAACTTTTGAAGTGAGAAGGTAATAATCATATGGCACGTTGTTTATCGTATAGCTCAGTGACTAATGTGATGATTATAATATCTTACTAATTGTTGCAAGCTTCTGAATTAAATGTTTTATAAAAAAGGCAAATTATTAGTATTTGGATTATTTAAATGATTAACTCATTCAGATATCTCAAATGCTTTTATTTGATGTAAGATAATTGCAGGAAATAAATCTTTACTTCCTCTCTTGTGTATATTTTTTAATAGGATCAAGAACGAAGGGAGTCTGAACTTGCAGAACTTCATTTGTTAGAAAAGAAGTTTTTGTATGCAGAGCAGTGGAAAACAGATTATAGAGCACATGCGAAGGTAAACTTGCTTTTCAGATGTCCAGTTTCATAATACTGGACAATGAAGAGACTGTGGCTGTTTCTCTACTACTGGATCCAGGAGTGCTGTGTTTCTTGAACTGAGGTCTGTGTGATGGCTGGACATGCACACTCTCTTCTGTGCTCTGTACTTTGGCTTACATGGCCACATCAGCCATAAAGGAGCCTAATACAAAGAAAATAAGTACCTAGGCTGGGTGATTAAATTGTGAGGGCCATACAGTTTATCCTAACAGTAGCTTTAGGTATAGCTGTAATTTCAGATGTTCTGGTATTTTTCCTTTCTTGTTTTTATTTAGCTCCTTCTAGTTTAGAACATTCCAGGAAAAAAAAGAGGAAAAAAACAAAACAAAAAAAACAACCAAACAGAACCCCAACAGAACCCTCCACCACACACCTCTATCGTGGCTTAAAAATAATTCAGTAGAATCTGAGACAACTGACAGCATTTGTTCCAGTGGTTCCTGGATATTGCATGAAGAGAGGTTGCCCAAACCTCAGTGAGAACCTGACTTGAAATATATGAAAATGCAACTAAGAGTTTCTGTCAGGAGTTTATTATGACATACAGTTTGAATTATTACCCAATAATACTGTATGCCTATAAAGTTAAAAAATAAGATATGGAAGGACAGTATGAATAACAATATCTTGCTCTTGTAATTTTGTATTGCAAAATATTTTGTATTGCAAAATATTTGATATTTGGTTAGCTTAATACCAAATAATGCTAAATACACCTGTAGACACAGTAATTTTTTTTTTCTTTTTGTTTTGGATGCTACTTAATCCCTTGCGAAGCTACTGCAGGATAAATCATTTTGGAATAGACTTCTGAAATGCAGTTCTAGTTCAAACTCCTGCTCAAATTGGGGTGTCCTCTACAGTTAAATGGATTTGTTTGTTTGTGTTTTAAAAGTCTCTCAGGATATAGAAACCACAGTATCTCTGGGCAACCTGTTTGCCTGCTTTACCTGTCTTGTTGTATTTTTTTTTATATCCAGTTAGATTTTTCCCTTGGGAAACCCTTGTGGCCAGTGCTGCTTTGTCTTGGCATGTTATCCCTATGCACCTCTGAGAAAACCTTGTCCCTGTCTTCCTTGTCGCCCCTCTCTAGGTAGGGGCAGGTTGCAGTTTGCCCCTCCCTCAGCCCCCTCTTGCCCTGGCTGACGAGGGGAACCTGCTCAGCCTCCCCTTGCGTGACATCAGCTCGTCTCTCCTGACCCTCTCCGTGGCCTCCTCGGGACTTGGCCACTCACCCCTTTCCCTCCTGCACTGAGTGGCCCCAACTGGTCACGTCCTCCAGGAGTGGCCTCATGAGGGCTGTGCGCAGGGAAAGGTAGTTTCCCTTCATCTACCCTGTGACACTCTTGTTTTTGTAGCCCAGTGCTATTAGTTTTCGTAGCCACAAGGGTGCGCTGCAATAACTTCACAGTCACAAGTCATAGGCCATTTAGATTGTTTTTAATACCCTTTTTTATTATTATTTGGTGACCTTATTGTCCTTGTCGACAATAGACTCTGGAAGTCATTTTGAAAGAATACAGTTTTTGTTGGTGGATGTTTCTGAAAAGCATTCCTCAGAATGGGAAAGATGAGAAATTTTAGGTTTGAAAAGTAATGACAAAGTACAATCATTATTTTGAAAGTAATTCTTCACCTGTAATGCTGGTAGCTTATGGAAAATACCATTGCATTTACTGTGCTATGAATATTTAGGGTGAATAAAAGGTATAGGTTGCCTGTACAAGGTAAAATCATATGCTAAGTTTCTGAATTAATTTCCATTTAATTTTCTAATTAAATTGTGATTAACAGACACACTCAGATATTTTCATGAGATTTGCTCTTTTTATTTTTAGAGCAAATTCTGTAACTTCTAAGGATGCGCTTTCCTTCTGAAGAAACTGAATCTCTGTTTTAATTTCAAAGATGTAAAAAGAAAGGAATTGTGACTGGATGTTCTTGTTACTGAAGGCTGATCAATCTTTTGTGCAGGAGTTTTCAGACCACTGAGCACTTAGTTACATAGAATCATAGAATGCTTAAGGTTGGAAGGGACCTCTAGAGATCATCCAATCCAATCCCCCTGCACACACAGGATCATCTAGACCATGTGGCACAGAAGGAGATTCTGCAACCTCTCTTGGCAACTTGTTGCAGGGCTCTGTCACCCTCACTGTTAAGAAAGTTTTCCTTAAGTTCCTGTGGAACTTTTGGTGCTTCAGTTTGTGGCCATTTCTCCTAGTCCTATCACTGGCCACCACTGAAAAGAGGCTGGCCCCATCCTCCTCACTCCCTCCGTTGAGGTACTTATAGACACTGATCAGGTCCTCTTTCAGCCTTCTCTTCTCCAGGCGTAACAGGCCCAGCTCCCTCAGCCTCCCCTCATAGGGCAGATGTTCCAGGCCCCTGATCATCCTTGTGGCCCTGCGCTGGACCCTCTCCAGCAGCTCCACATCCCTCTTGTACTGTGGAGCCCAGAACTGGACACAATACTCCAGATGCGGCCTCACCAGGGCTGAGTAGAGGGGCAGGATCACCTCCCTCGACCTGCTGGAGATGCTCTTCTTAATGCACCCCAGGATCCCATTGGCCT